CTTTTAAGATATAACTCCTGAGTTTAGTGTTACTTTAACCTTACAATGTAATACTAAATTAATTGTGGGTGCCACTATTCGCAATAATTGTCTGCAGAGTCCAGGCCTTGACCTGTGAAATTAGCTATGAGCTGAAAATATCGTCCCTTGATGACAATGAATGGTCCTTTGATGGCAGTCATTTTATTCATGTGACTTTGTTGCTAAATAACTCGGAAGTACTGCAAAATGTTTATGTACATATGGCACTTCTGATATAACACAAGTGCCTGAAACGTCTGAGGACACTTTTCAAGTTTTCAGTGATGTCATTCCAGCCAGGAAGCCCCGTGTGTTCAGTTATGTAATGTTAAACGCTGTGAAAAATGAGTGCAGGACATTATGTCATAGCTTCTCTTTCTACTTCCCTGTCCTACAGATTTCTTACTGGAAGAGGCGTAAATGAAAATACTTTGTGTCACCAACACATATAATATTGCCACATACTTTGAAATCTAGAATATCAACATGGCTATGAATAATATAAAGATAATATCAGGATATTTGTGATATAAGAATATTCATTTTTTGTCAACGGCCATTTCTACTACATCTGCTGGGAGTTTTGTTACGCATATGATACTCTTTTGGTAACTAAAACCTATATCCTATGTTTACCCAGCCATTATCAAGCAACCTCCCCCCACTGTTCTGAAGTTATAATTATGATAAAAAATATTATAAATAATTAAACAACAATTTTTAAAAATATATTTATAAAGTGTATGTAAACTCAAAACCCAAAAATTAGACATTGCAGTTTACCAGCCTTAGATGTGGTGGCTGCATTATGTTTTTTTCAGGGTTTTTTTCCACTTTATATTAACCTGTGATCCTGCAAATAACACACTTTCTTAGGGTGGCAGCGGAATACCCCACTGTATCTATGGAAGGAGCCATAGTTATCGCCCAAACTTGGATTGGTAAGCTGCACTATGGTAATTATTTCTGCTTGGGTTTAGACATAGCAACTATGGCAGAGAGACATGTAGTTCTCAATGGAATACAAGTGTGGTAACGTCACATGACTTGTAGTCCATTCATTCTTCCTCCAGTCCATGTTACTGAAAATCCATGCCTAATTACGAACATGGATGGGAGGAAGTGTCTGCAGAGCATCGCACCCGTGATCACAGTTGCAATGCTTTACTGGCTCCTATGCAAAAAAAAAATTCCTTTAATGAAGAAGTGTGCATTTTTTTTTTTTTTAAAGTTGGAATTTCCCTTTAAGTCCACTAGTTTTCTGTTGGGTATTTTTCAAAACTAAATATAGCAACTAAAAAAAAAAAAAAAATCAGAAATGGAAGAAGTGGTCAGCAGTTGTACAATATATGAGTGCCAAGGTGTGGTTCCATCAGATTCAACAGCATTGAAATTGAGGAATTGTCTGTGCTCAGGGCCCCACTCTCTGACGTGAGAATATCTGTACATCACAGAACTGATTTTTTAGGTCTCAACAGGATATTTATAAATGTCAATCTTTATCTCCCCAGTAAGTGCTAATGTGCTCCTCCTTATATAGAGTGTAAGTGGATACCTAAGAATGATCTGATTGTGGAACTGGGTCTCCAATTCTTTTGTCAGTTTTACAATCCAGAGTCCTATTCAGTAGATCACAAAACCACCCAATAAATCCTCAGTTTATTACTGCCATCTTCCTGTAATTCATGTTTTCTGCAAACAACCATAAAGCAGCTCTTCTGGACCCCCAGCCTGGCTTTTGTCTTCTTGTTGAAAAATGTCTGTTCAATTTTACAGGGAAATTTTGTTAACAACTGACCTTATATTTTTGTACCATCTGTGAGAACTGCTCTGCCCTACAGCTCCTGAGAATCACTGCCTAGACAGCTTGTAAATGGTTGAGATTCTTCTAACTCTATAAAACAAGTCAGAAGTTTTTGTTTGTACAGACGTTCTTCCCGTTGTCTGTTCTTAATCTCCTTGTTACCCACAATTCCCTTCTGCGCTTCCAAACTAGCTTTACCGTGTAACTTATCATCAAAACTAAAGCTGCCCATACACGATTCCTGCTGAATCCACCGAAAATCAACCTGCGGGAGGCCCCTCTTGGCACCACAAAAGTCAACTTTCAATTGCTGAATAAGAGATATCTAAAAGGTGTATGGCCAGCATAAAGATTTTGCAACCACTTCTCAACACTTTTTTTTGTTTGTGATCTTAAGATCTGATATAAAATCTATAATGACTTTAATCAGGAACTGTCAAGTGAGTGCACACTCAGTGACAGTTAAACCATCATGTCACACTATAGGTCTATATTATAAAATAGTACAATACCCAGCAGTTTAAAGCACACCTAGTGCCAGTTACATATTTTTTGCATGAACTTGAAAAATATAAGTGTGACACTTTTGGTATTTATTATCTCTCTGAGAGATCACAGTAATGTCTTCCTCTGCTTTACTCTCCAGAAGGACAGCACCATCTTTGATCAATCATCCTGCAGGCCCAGTATCTACTTCCTGGACTGAGATGCTGCCTCAAAGATGATACATGTAAATCGTAGTGTCTGTGCAGTTCTTGAATGTTTACAGATGTCTGACAGATTAGCACTCTCACCTTTTTACTTCCTACAAAGTTACAAAGTACACTCTGAATGATAACTGTAGAGGAGAATGAGGAATCTGCAACAGACTAATGGCATAATAAAGACTGGCGCTCGAGAACAGCTTTTAATGTTGTCTGCTTTAATTAAGTTGTAATTCTTCAATATTTCTATCTACAATACGAGTTTTGTGAAAGACACATACGGGTCCTTATTAAACAACATGTCTCACTAAGAACTGTCTATTACCATATGGCATCCAACCAAATTTCAACGTAATTCCCCGACTGTCAATATTTGCCATCCTTTTTATGCAGTCTAGTGATGTTTATTCCAGCCTAGTTCAGAAAGCACCTCGAATGGGCTGCCAAGTGGATCTCATGTCTGGATTTTTGGAGAAGAAATTACTTTTTTTTTTCCAAGTTGTGGTTTGGCGGACAGTGTTAAAACCATGGAAAAATATAAAGCCATTGCAGACATTAGAGGGATAAGATGAGGCATTGGAGGAGAGCAATGTGGGATTCTGATTACTAACATGTGTGCGTGTCCGGACTGCGGTACGTTAGGAGGAACCTCCAATCTGCACTATACATTTATTATTATCCAATTTGCGAAAGTAATGTTATTGTGAATAGTTAAACTTATAAAAAGTGTAATGTAGGATAATTATCCAAAATTCCTTCTAATTAAATCTGCAGCCTCTATGTTGTTCGAAATTTGAAAAAAAAACTAATATCACACCTATTTGCTTTAGCTACCTAGTGGCGACTGCGACATTACAGGAAGATTATAAATATGTTTTGCTGTACAATGTATCACCAGTCAGGTTCTTAGGAATAAAAGGTAAAATAACATTTATTACATTGAAAATAAAAAACACTAAAAACTTTGTTAACCTCATATCCAGCAAACGGAATGCTCCTTTATGTGCAAACAATATATTAGTTGCAGTCCAGTGAACCTGTATAAGTATTGCACCAATAGCTTGAATTAGGGTATTACAAAGGGGAATTAGGGTACAGTAGAGGGGCAGAAAGGGGATGGAGTACAAAAGAGGTATGGGAGGGTTGACAATAGGATAAAAAAGGAGGTTACAATATAGTAACAGAGTAGTGTATTGGGGTATATCAGAGGGGGATTAGGTTACAGTAGAGGGATGGAGGGTATTGGGTGGTCCCTAGCAAGGACAGCTGGAAGTTGTCCATAAATAATTAACTCCAGTGACATATTAACTGGGTTTTTTTTTTCCAGCCGCGTTCGCCTTTAACACAAGGCTTCAGTTTCGAACATTTTTGGAAAATGTCCAAACCCCTGTCGTAACTGAGTTTACAACTACGAACTTTCCTCAGCTCCCAGCAAACAGATGATACTGCCACCTGGAGGCAGATGATAGATTCTTATTTTTTTTTTTTTTTTAAACAGTTCAACATTTTATTTAACCACTGCATAACTGCAGCTGTGTTAGCTTTTATTGCTGCATCTGACTATTAATTTAAATTAGGGTTTTCTTTTTTTTATTATTTTAGTTCAATATGATTTTCACATTTTGAAAGCATTTTTCATGGTAGATAGAGAATAGAGTCATTGTAAAAACACAATTTTTTTTTAGTCCCTTTGCGACCTCTACAAAGCTTGTATGCCCATTATAACCTAATATTTATTAAACAATCTTACAAAAAAACACATAGAATTTTTTTTTAATAATGTTGGAACCCTTCAAGCCAAATGTCAAACCTGGTGATAATAAGAAGAAATACTGCACTTTATAGCAAATTAGTGATAAAGATCATAATAGCAGACACCCCTGTGGGGCAAACTGTAGATTTCAGTAATGGCCAACCAAGCATTCTCTTCCTGCCAAGCAGATCTCCGATACCCAGATCTTGTGCAAAATATGCATATTGATCAAGTCAAGTAATACAGCAGACAACAGTCACCATGTTTGATGAACCCTGACTGGTAATAATTTATAAAATTTGCAAAGTTAACTGATTAAATACATTGACCCTGTATTCATCTTGAAAAACCAGTTATGTGCAAGGGAATTTATTGTTCATGATTGGTGGATTAAAATGAGCATAGCTTTAACTTATTTACAAAGGTTTGTGAACATTTACTTTGCTAAATTGTTAAGCTGGCAAAACTCTAAGGTTCTATATCCCCCCTCCCCCCCCCCAAATGACAATCAGATTGGTGGGCTAACGGAAACTTGAACTGAGACAAGCTTTAGAACCATTTATTTTTATTGTTTACACTGTCTGTTAAACCAACCATTTTGATTTGTTTGCCAATAACATACAATAGATGAATGATTTGTAACACTTAATGGAAGAACAAAACAGAGAAGATGAGATATATAATATATACGGTAATGGGTCGTGGTATGTAGAGAAGACTACTGACATCCCTCCAGCAGAATATTCTCAGTGAAGTCCTCCAGCATGCCCAAAAATCGATTACACTGCAAACTGGTGCAGGAAACATCCGGCCACCATTCTATCCAGGAATTGGAGTCCAGCGGATACTCATAACTGCAACACAGCAGATGGGAAAACCTGTACTGTATATCAGAGCTTTATATAGCAGAATAAACCATCCTTCTAAGTGCTGGACACACAAATTAGGAAGATAATTTACAATTCTGAAACTCTTTAGAAAAATCTGTAGTGCATAAAGGACCCTTGGAGTAGCTCCAAACCAGCATTACCATTAGCAAAATTCAGTGACCACATAGGATGTCACCCGCTGCACCCACCCCATCCTGCATCAGAACTAAGACCAATGGTGTCTACATCCAGAGCTCATGTGCCGAGCTCATGATCCTCTATGGCTGACTCAGTGCAAGTGCCACTATTTAGAGGTGGTTGGAACCTGTCTTCATGTCAGGTCTGTATGTCTTCTACAGTTTGTTAGAGCAGGGAAGGGGGCTTTGAGGGTAAATATGACAGGCAGAGCTCAGCAACAAAGATATAAAAATCCAACAGGTGAATCCTGTGAATGAAATATCACTGACCCCTAATCAAATCAATTTCATTTAAAGCTCTTGTGTGACTCCGCTCTGAAAGAAGTATACCATGCAGCAGGCGTTTAAACAGACAGTACTGATGGACTGCCAAAATACACAACACTAGGGGGAGTTGACATCTGCATGTGACTGCTGAGAAGCTGGAGCGGAGCAGGTCTTTAAGCATGCTTCAGTTGTTGTGGCAAAGAACCAAGTACATCATGAGAGATTACCACTTACTGGAATTCTCGCTCTTGCCGAATCTGGATCCCATCTTTCCCCATGATCAGGTACTGCTGCCCGTTCTCCATATCAAAGCTGCTGCATGTATTCTTCTTGATGAAGCGAATCTGTTTGTTCACTTTGACCAGTGCAGTACCTTGAGGTGAGAAAATAAATGGCAGCGTAAGTGCATAGAACACCTGAGAAAAACATATGCTGTGGTGATCGACATAGCAGGAAATGGTATGAGGACAGCAATGCTGTAAGCTATTATCTGCCACAAGTGAGAGTAAAGACAGAGGATGGACTGAGGTTGCATGGTATTGTGTAAAGCTTCTTTGTGACTAATTATATACACCGATACTATCAATGAGCCACTTTGGAAGCTTAATGCATCAATCCCCTGATCATAGGATTATTCTACTTTACTCTAGTTTTACTTTACAGCAAACAGAAAACAATCCCATTCTATGTAGTTTGGGTAAAATGACATGTCAACTAAAGACTGAGCCTGAGTGTCAGCCTGCAACCCTTTGACAGAGGATCAAGTGGTTAACAAACCTTTTATATAGGCATTTTAGCATGCAAGGTGATAGAAGCCCACCTAATCTTAAATGAAAAAAAAAAAAAAGCTCCGACCAGCACTAGCGCATTCCTATTTGCCAGGGTTTCTTACCCTTCCTCCTCCAGTCGGCTGCAGCATGGCTTGCTTTGCAGTATGTTTTGCACTGTTCTTCCTCTTTTGCACCCTCTTATGCCCAAACCAGTAAACATAATCATTTCTGCAGCTACTGGCAAAGTCCTGTCTCAGAGTGATGATGCAAATACTATTTAACCTTCAGCTTGTCCATTCAGTCGCCGCCCTTGCCTGTGTTCAGATCTACTGAGTGCTCAGCTGTTGTTCCTGTTCTCCATGTATGGCTCTGGCTGATTGATCTCCTGGTTTCTGACTTCGGCTATTGTTTCCGTTTATTTTGTTCTCAGATTTCCCTGACCTGGTTTGGCTGACTACCCGCTGGACTTCCTCCATTGTTGTTTGCCATTTTTGTTTATAGTTTTTCACAATAATCGCCATTTATTTGTAACCTGAACTTAAGTTTCTGTCTCGTTTCTTAGTTCCCTAACACTATTGCCCACTTGGGCTACAAAACAATGGCCGCCTTGTGGGTAAGTCCTTCTAAGTGTGGTGAGTAAACAGTGTATGTGGCAGCTGGTATGCAGACTTGGCAAAATCCAAATTCACCATCACTAGGGAAGAAGCTTCAATGAAGTCATCAGCATAGGATAAAGACTATTTTGGGAGCAGCACCTGAACAATGCATTAAAAGAGAAGTTTGGGGAGAGTAAAATACACGTTGGCTCTATTGATCGAGGTTTGAGCAATCACATACCATTGATCACTCAATTCCCTATCTTCACCCTGCAGATAGCGGTGACTGTTGGTTATCACTCCCCACAGGGATACCCTCTTCCCCTCTCCATTCCTCCAGCACTGACTGGAGGAACAGAAGGGAGAGGGGGCGGGCACAGCTGGCTCTGCCTCTAGAGAAGGAGAGCCAGCGGTCAATCAGGCAGCGTGGTGGATCCCGACAATTTTGTCGGGATTTGTCCCGACTTCAGCATGGCTTTGCGCTGTCAGCATATAGCGGGCAATAGCAATAGTTTTGGTCACAGTAGGACATTAGTATATATGTCTTCCTGTTACCCAAAAGAGAACTATGGAAAAAAAAGGTTGGGTCATAGTTATCTTTTAAGCTTGATAGCGGCTGAATTGAGAAGGTCTGACCAAACCTGAATTCAGCCAAAACTCAGGAGAAAATGTTTGATTTCCATAAAATGAATTCAATTTAAGTATCTTTTTTGCTTCCTAACCCCATTTTTAGCCCCCATGTTCTCACCTTTGTTAAATATATCCAAGATTTTTGCTGTGTATTTCAGAAAATCTCCATCTTCATCCAGCTGGACAATCTGCACTTTATATGCTGCATGAAAATTAGATAAAAAAATACAACATTCTAATTAAAACAAGATTAGCAGTGTGAATTTGTCATTTATTAATCTGATGTGCAAAAAGGAAAACTGACCTAAGATGAATAAATATCAAATCGTTTTCTGGAAAATCATGCCAAAGAATACCTATACCAACCAACCTGGTCAGACAATGTCAGTAGACACCCCACACACTGCCCTAGTCTAACAAGCTAGCCTGCCCGATTAATGTTTTCTCTGGTCTTTAAGTACAGTCCACCAGGCACCCAAAATGGTGAGAACTGTCTGTGGTTAAACAGCATTTCTACCACTTTACTCCCCTACATATCTGATGTGTGGATGTAAAGCTGCTTAAATCACCAACAAAATACTGCAATATACAGTACGTATGTATACCACCCAGCAGTCCTTCTCACCGTATGTGACATCACCCTTGCACGCCACATTCTTTCTTTGTTCTGCTGTGGTTGTCATGTCCAGTTTGCTTTTCAGTTTGGGACATTCACCTGCCGAGGACAGACAGGAAAAGGATTATGACTTCTGAAACAGAATGGGCTCTGTGCCTAATGTGTTCCTTTCAGCTGCTACATAAAGAATAAATTACCTTCTATACATTTACATGTGTCTCCCGTGCAAACCCTCACCAGATTGTCATCAGCGTATGGATTGTAGAAGGTGGTACATGCCTGATCTATTGCCACAAGAAACAGAGAGAGGCATTTGTGGAAATCAGATTATTCAATACAACAATTCACACACTAACAGTGATGTGGAAAAGGAAACGTTTCCTCCATCAGCCCTAAGAGGTCAGAAAGAATACTTAAATATGATTGGTTACTGCATTTAGGTTTGAATTACGTTGATTTAGGTTACTAAATTTAAACATGTTCACTTAGGAAGTAAGGAGATTAAGGGGGGATAGGATTCTGATGTACAAGATGTTGAATGGGGATAGCAACATCAGCAATAAACTTTTTACGGTAAACTCCAAAACAAAGACTAGAGGCCACCACCTAAAATTGGTGGAGAGGAGATTTCGGCACAAGGCGCGTAGGGTATTCTTCACAGTTAGAGCGGTTAGGGTCTGGAACGGTCTGCCGCAAGCAGTGATTTTAGCTGAGAGTCTGGCATCATTCAAAAAGCGTTTGGACGATTTCCTCAGAGACCGTAACATACAGGGGTACAGGTACACTTAGGAACAAGATCATGGATTCATACACGTGTAGAATCACATACATACACGCAATAGGTTCGACTTGATGGACCTGTGTCTTTATTCAACCTCAAATACTATGTAACTATGTGAATGCACTGCACATTGTGTTAGTGAACAAATGATCATCAAAAAGCAGCTTCAGTACAATCAGTTAGTGAAAAGCTTGTGTTTTCCAGGAGACATTCCGAAAAGATCTGGAAACCCACTCAGTCGATTTCAGTTCTGAGTCTATTGTTCCCTCTTAACGGTAGATTCAGCAAACTTTTGCTTTGATACCCAGAGTTGCTCTCTAAGCATTTTGCTTGACTCCCCTTACCTGGTGCTCGCAATTCGTAAACTTTAAAGATCCCGGGGCTTATCAAGGCCACTTTGAACATCTTCCTGACCAGCAGGGTGGCACAGATGTACTCATCAGATCCAATCTGTGTGAGAGAGAGCAGAGAGAACAGCAACATTTATTATGAGGAACATTGAGCTAAGCCAGCTCTATCTATAATAATGGTGTACCCAGTCAAAGTGGAGAACAACTTTTCCATCTTCGAGACTGTAATCCACCACATACTGGTCCACTCTGTTGATGAGCTGCAAACAGACAGAAAATATTAATGAAGAAAAGCACAGTAAAGATAAGAGAGAACCTGCTGAAGCCTTGAGTAACCAATCAAAAATCAGATTACTCTTCTAAAGATGAACAATTGCAATAAAAATGAATATATTGTTTTAAAATACAAAACTAAGATTTTAAAATAAATTTGCTTTTATTCCACTGAAATAACTAAATATAAACTGTTTAGACCTCTTTTCCTTGTAAATACAAATCCTCATGTACCTGCTCTCTGCCTCTCTCTGTACATGGTAAATTGTTCATTTTCTACTTCTTATAACTATCTGCATATGGTAATGCATTGTGAGCTGCCCTGCATGTCTTACTGTCTTTCAAAAATTGTTTATATTGCTAATTGTTGTCTAAAAATAATCACCTCATTCAAGTTTTTCTCATCAGCTATGAGGCCAGTAACTAGTGTAATCTCCATGACCACTTGTCCCGATTCCACATTTTCATTTTTCTTTGGCTTGTACCTGAAAAATAATTATACTGAACTCCATCAGCCTTTAAAAATGTGCCCATAAATGTGTGTGTAAATCATTATATAGCTGCTCCATCCATCTGGTTACCCACCCATGTATTCATGACACCATCCATTTATTCATCCAGTATATATCCCTCCATTCATTCATCCAACATTAATCCATCCATTCATAAACCACCCATCCATCCATAATGTATTCACCATCCATAACCCATCAATTCATATAGCCAATATTCCTTTATCCAACATAAACACATTCATCCATTATTCATCCATCTAGCCATCCACCATCTAACCATCACCCATTTATTCATTGGTGGCTCCCCCTCCACTCCCCATGTCCTCCATGGATGAGAATTTTTTTTTTTCCGGCGATGTGCACTCATTCACCACTCCAATCCACAACAAGGCAGCCTCATATCTTCCTGAGGAAGCTTATTTTAGAGAAACGCGCAGAAGGCTGGACCCACAACACATTAATGCACAACGACAGAAAGTTTACTACAATGAGATTTTATGCAGATACAATAATATTTACAACCAAAGATGTTTGGAATATTGTTTGACAATACAGATGCTAAATATGTGATCGTGGGGTCCAGAGAGGTCCAATGCCTTTTAAATAACATTGTATTGAGGGTGGTACTGCTGCTTCAATACCAGTTAGGCATATTTTTATGCTTTTATGGTGTTCTATAATCCAATTTCAATAAAGATATATTTGCATTAGAATGTGTTGTTTATGCCTAGAATGACACCTCAAAAAGCCTCATTCTTTCTTTTTGGTTTACCCAGTTATTCATTATGCCCCATCCATTCATTCAACATGAATCTAACCATTCATCAACCATCCATCTATCTTTAACAAATCTATCCCTCCATCCATCATCTAACCACTATCCATCCATTTATTCAACATGAACCCATGCATCCATTCATCTACAGTTGTCTCCTGTCATCAATCCATTCATGAATCCACTATTCATCAGCCATCCATTCACCTATCCAGCCATCTATCCACTATTTATCCTTCACCACTCAGTTATACATCATTCATCCTTTGTCTATCCATCCTTTATTTCATCCTTCCATCTGCCACTCATTTACGAATCAATCAATCATCCATCCATCCAAATATATGAATCTATTCCTCATCCATCCACTATGTATCCATCCATCCAACCATCATCCATCCATTCACCGATCATTATATATTCATCAACCATCCACCATATATCAACCATCCATCCATCATCCATCCATCACTCATCATCTAATACACGATTCATCATCCAGTCACCATCATTTATCCATCTTCCATCCATACATTCATATGTCACTCATCCATCTCTCCATCCACCCTGCCATTCATCCGCAAACCATCCATCTACCATTTTTCTATTCCCAATCATCCACCATCCATTATTTATCCATTCATCTACCATTTAGAGTTGTTGGTACAGCTAAAGAAGAGATTGTGAGATGAGTACGGTCAGTTTAGGAGGGGATTTACTCTTTGGATAGATGCCATCTCTGGCATGTGCATTACTGGATTCTGCAATCATCGGGTTTCTACCAGCCACCCCTGGACACACAATACATATCCACAGTATGGCGCATAATTAAGAGCACCATTTATGTAAGTAGTTGGTGATTTTTGTTACTGTTGAGCGTCTATGGGAACAGTGCAACTGCTGATCATTACTACCAATTAACTAAAGTTTATGGTGCATATATAGGCCAAAATATTTATGTTACCGGCATCACAATATTCATAAAATAAAAAAATGGTGGAGAAGAGCGATGGCACAGAACAGATTATAGTACCACATAATCTATTGTGTTAATGTTTGGATGTGTTACTAGTTGTAATATCTTACTTTGCACAGACTTCCAGGAACAGTGCCTGTGAGTTATCATCACTGAATATCGACTGGTCTTCTGCTAAACATGGTGGAAGTAGAAAAGGAAAACGTGAGTACAGGAAGCATTGACTGAGTGATCATTGCAAGAGAGTGATGAGCGAGAAAGTTCAAATAGCTGCTTTTATCTTTGCACTGGGCATTGTAGTCACTGGAACATATTTGGTTCAGCAGACAAGTGTCTTTTCTAAAACAATCTCTATGAACAATAAAGAACATTAGGCCATGTGCCCAGGAGACGAACTCCAGGGCAGAACATGTGAATTGTGAGGTGGTGGAGACAATTTACATTACCCCTGGGCTCTAGGAAGCACACAGAATGCCTATTGTAAAGACTTCAATCCTCTCATGTCATGGACAAAATAAAGGAAACCTTTGGTGATGAAATATAGAGGCTACCAATTGACCTCTCCTTTCAAAAAACAATTCCCTGGCTGATCCAATTCCCAGGGCTACATACAGATCATTTAATCCATTCATGTTAGTATAATTGTAAATGTATTGTCTGCACTGTATTAGCAGTATATACTCTATATAGAGTATATACTGCTAATACAGTGCAGACAATACAT